CTAGTGCTACTCCTTCAAATATGTGATACAACCTCCTCTGTTGTGTTCGCGTCAATGATGCTCGAGTGATGAGCATGCGTAACCCTTCTACCCGTTCATTGTCGAAATCTGAATGCGTTCACTAAATGTCATTTCCTCGAGCACTACGAGGACTACGAAATGACATTTCAGAAATTTGGTTTTGTTGGGGTTTCCGATTCGGGCAAAACACTGCTCGTGAAATTTAGACTTTTGTGACTTTAATGTGTTGAATGTGTAATGTGTTTATGTGTTTAATGTGTAACTCGTGAAATTTAGACCTCGCAACGTGCACAGAGAGTATTCCGGTACACCCTCGAGAGGAGAGTCTGAACTTTTCACCGGAACATACATATGTTGATATCGCGACTGATGAGAATCTGCTTCGTAAATTCGGAGATCTTAATAACATCGGACTCCATGTGTTAGTAAGGATATGGAAATCTGAGAAAATTTTTAAATGTTTTTGCCGGTTTCTGTACACTTCTACGACGATTGGTATATGAGCTTCTATATTTGATGAGGAAACTCCTGAGATACGCTGAGGGAAGCAGACAATTTTTCCAACACTGACTGGAGATAGCTGCCAATTCTCTGTGGAGGTGGACATGACGCTGACCTGCTCAAGTGGACGACGTTCTCGCGAGGAGGGTTCATTCAACCAGTGATCTAACATGGTCGACTTCCTTATTGTAGCCTCGCATCGCTCCTTTCAATCTCAGTCGATGTGATGTTCTCAGTTCGCGGGATGTGCTCATATTTCCTATTGTCCATCCTACTAGACTTCGTGCTTATATCAATACTCTTGTCCTCCGATGAGTTGTTGTGTTCCCTTATACTATTGAATCCAAGTTGAAACCAATGAGCATCACATTCATCCTATCCGAGAACGTTCGAGGGCGTCCTGGTGTAAATGGATTGTATTCAAACTTGAACTCAAACACTGCTTGGAATTGCAATTTCCATCAATAAAGTCAGAGACAAGGCGGCACTGAGCTTCTCTGTGTGACGCCGCAAGGTGAAGTCAACACACCGCTGGACAACAACAGAAGATAAACACTCTTGCCGGGAGCCAACTACACTACTGCTGAACGATTTCGACGATCCTGCGAAGCGCCGAGAATAACACAACTCGGAGAATAGTCAGAAATTTGCTTCTGAGGGACGCGTGGCCGCCTCAGTAAAGCTACGTACAATGACTTCCTTGAAACGAAGACGAAGTTAGACGCATCAATGGGCATTAAGCCCTTAACAGAAATGGCGATCTGGCCTCAGCCACAACACACGTCTTGTAACAAGACCAATATATTCCACAAAAGAACTCGCTCACGGCAATGCGTGTCGAGAACGGTATGTCTAAGCACTCAAGGCAAGGGAGAAAGCTTTACAGTATAGTATTGCACGGTGATCAGACCGTCTCAACCAAAAAATTCGGGCGTTCTTCCCGAACTCCTCCGAGCTGGTGAAGTCCTGACAATGAACAATGATTGACAATCATTCGGGAATAGCCAGAGACGCCTTAGGTTGAGTCTTAGCGGAGAGATGCTGAGAAGAGCTGTCACAATGTGGAAGGAAATATGATGCTCAGCAATATGTACATACGTATATGGAAATCAGAGATATATCAAGGCATGGACTTCCGCACTTGAGATGATACAACTCTACTTACTCCAGAGAGAGCAGCGACACGTCTATAGGCTCGTCTTGGGCAGACATCTGAAGGGAATCAACGATGCTGTCCAAAAGCTATGGAGTTTTCTACCCACCCGGTTGGTCGAAAAAGTGCTGCTCGGATAGTCTGTGGCGTCCCCGAAGAGTCTGACAGAGAGAATGCAGTAACCCGCATGAACCGACAAGTACGGGAAGATGGGCAATAAACATTCATGCAAACGTAGGGAGGGTGGCCGAAGATTGATAGGAAATCCCCGAGTTGCTATGCAAGAAAAAAGTTCACACACGAGGCACTCTGTTGGGGGAATTAACACCCAATTTAGTTGTATAGAGTTAGTCAATGACAGCGAGCCTCAAGAAGTAGTAGTAGTAGTAGTAGTAGTAGTAGACTTACTCGCTCTGTGAGAGAAGGAGTAAGGCAAGATACTGGACATAACTAGGTGGCAGAGAAAAGGCTGGAGGGTCGGGCGGAGAGGGCAGTGGGTGTAGCTTTGGGGTAGAAGGCGGTGAGAGTCTGAGTAGGGAAGTGAGAGAGGGAAAGGAGGAGGAAGAGAAAGCTCTTACGGGATAGACGATTGTTGAGAGACGAAGCTCTCAATTGGACTCAAGGATGGCAGAATTGATTCGAACATTATGAAAAAAGGTGGAAATGTAACTGCCCAAAAATGTAACGCTAGCGAACCTATTTTGTATCTTGCACGCTCGACATCAAGATACCCTTCAATCACTCGCACAACTAATCATAATATCATACACTGCGCAGAGTCTAGAATCTCCGTGCCGTCCTCAAGATAGAATTTGCTTCTATGAGAATAGAAGCATGTACATAATACGTGTACATAGTGGGCATATAACTTCGGAAGTGCTCCTTGAGGAGAGGCGAACCTCGCAAGTAGGAGTTCCTAACGCTGCTTCCTCAAGAACGGCTTCCGAAAGTTATACCGCAGATATGTTTTATCAACCAAAGCAAGCGAACCGTTATAGACACAACGAAGGTAGGCAACGTAGGACTCCACCACGAACATTGACGTTCGGGGCTAGTGATAGTTAGCACTAGGCCTTTAATTTTCGTCGGTTTTCGGAGCAGCTGCTGACGAGTTGGTCGAGTATGCAGGGTTTCATATTCTTTGCAAGATCCCCAGACCGGGAGCTTTCGAATGGTGGTTCATACGTTTTCATATCTATTGTGGATCGGGCTGGACAATTGCATACGCACGCACGCACGCACGCACAAAGTTAGCGTGAAGTGAGAGAAAACGCTCCGCTCGCTGCGCAATTCACCTCGTGCTTGATCGAATGAGAATCCTCCTCCTGCCCTGCGAGATCGACTGTACGCATGTTGACTTTTGTCGTAATGGTGTATTCGAGAGTGTTCCCTCAGCTCTCCGTAGTAACTCCGTGATCTACCCCGAAGTGTTGATCATGAATATTCAGGGTTGTTGAGTGATTGTGGAACTCATAACCAACTGTGGGTTCGCATTTGTCGACTGGGGATGAATTCTAGTATATAAATTCAAGTTTATCGATTTTTTGACAATTGAATAGAGTAACATTTTTGCTGGGAATCGATCCGGGGATCTGTACTAGTTACCATGGAATGTGGTACTTACATAGTATCTTCCGGGCCGAATGCACGCAGCGGCCAGCCCATTCCCAAGTGAACTGCGTGAAGCACTTGCATGGTCTACGCGTATCTTGAGGTAGTCTGGGTAAGATGCGGAATAGGTCCCGGGACAGAGTTCTTGATCACACTATCCGCTATCTGCCTCTAACGTTAGAGATGCTTAGAGAGAGCGCAATCCCGCCGGCATACGGCCACGTGGTGAAGGTACTCAACATCGACATGTGCTTCGCATTCTAAAGTGCATCTCAGATCGACCGTTGAGGATTTCTTACTAACAATGGCAACCCTTCATGATGAAGTTCGGGTTCATGATGAAGGCTTCATCAGACCGGTGGCGCCAGCGGGAGAGGACCAGCGAGGATATGATTCGAAAGATCCTAGTGCGAAGGCTGTGACCGACTTGTTGGAGGAACTATTTTATCATGTTCCTAGTAGTAGAGGGATGATTACTCGGCATGGTCGTTGAAACATTTTGGTCGAGTGGTTAGAGCGCTGGTCTACTGATCCGTTTGGCTTTTTCGTGAATGCTCAAACGGTAGAGCCGTCGTGTTTTCTGTTTGGGTATAGTGCTTCGAGTAATCCCCATCATTCCTGTGAGGTCCTCAGCTTATAGAGTAAGCGGTCCTTGCACCCACACGCATGTGTGGATGTATCCAGGAACTCGTTGATTTGTCGAGCTGGAAATCCGAGTGTGTCGTTGCTGAGGTAACTCGGCTACAACTTCTGCTTTAGCCCTTGGAACACTATTGGTGAAGCATGGTGCATCGACTACTCCTGCAACTGTATCAATAAACGTTTTGGAGATGCCGGATTGTATCGTTGGTTGTGGATTAGTGTGTACTTATGGAGTTTCCTGTGCCACAAGTCATGTGACTGCTGTTGATTGACTGAATGGGTGGTGTTAAGTCAAAGTGAAGGTCGGCGGGAAGCTTGGATGGGCTCGATGAGGCTCTTTGGAAAGTTTTATTTGACGATGGTGGAGCATCCCTACTCAGAGGGTCGAGGTGAAGTCTACATTTACGCTGGCAGAGGTGCTGGGAAAGAGAGCATCAGACGTAGTAGTTGGGCGAAGCAAGTTACTCTGATCGTTCTCAAGGGTACTCCCTGGTTCTTCAGTATATACATCCGTTCAGTTCATCGCTTGCTATGAGGCATTCCGTATGCAGCTATCGCAGAAAGACAGTAAATCTGCAGTTACTCATTGCATTGCATAAACGTCTTATAACTAATATTGGGTTTATGCGGTTCATTACGTGATGTAGAAATATCTAAAGCGGCCTGGAGTGCTCATGCGGCTCGAATCTTTGCGATTAACGTTACACCGGTCTCGCTGTCGAGTATGCAATACTTTTCTAGGCACTGAAGAACTGGTCAAAGATGTTTTGGGTCCCGAGGGATTCCCAGTATTCCGGATCAGCTGTCAAGAGCTTCTCGATGGGGGATGGACGAATAATTGCCGTCTTCTGATCATACCTGGAGGAGCAGATTCACCGTGAGTTGGTTCGAATATTATTGATTTATCAGTTTAATACCTTATCCGCGCGGAATTTGGCTTAAGTTGCTATGATATCACTATCTTTGGAACTATGCGCTTCCTGCGATGTCCAGGGGGTTCGTCGTTCCTTGTGTTATCTGAATATTACATGAGCTTGTGTTTTGTTTGCTGCCTTGGTTTCAATGTTGGATCTTCCTAGCTGTGTATCATAGTTATTTCGGTGGAGCTGTGCGACTCCTGTTTGCAAAAATTCGGATTTCACTCCGAGAGAAGTTGCCTTAGCGGCTCTGGGTATATCTGACTTGTGTCGCCCTCAGGTGGGTTCAGGATCTTAATGGAAAAGGCTGCCGGTTAATTCGCACCTTCGTTGAAGATGGTGGATCATTCCTCGGGACATGTGCAGGATCCTACTTCGGATCTAGTGCGTAAGTTCATCAAAAGTGGTTACAAATCTTCTAGCCAAGTGGCCAAATGAAAATATGGAGTCGGAAGAGCTTTTCCCGACCCTCACCCTTGGTCTTGGTCAATCATTCACTGGTGATCTTATTGATTCACTGTGAACGGGAATATGCATGGTGATGTATGTTCCACGAATAAAACAATTTTCCCATGGAGATCTTGTGGTAGATTTTCAACTTGAAAATTTCAAGACATGGCACATTCCAGTTCTACGGTGAGAGTCCTACCGCACCATCCAAGAAGGCTGTGAGATGTTCACGAGGAGTCTACAATGCGGATCGACTCGATTCGCTCAATGGATCGGCCATCTCGAATCGATCGGTCTATCGAGCTGGCTGAGGCACCGGTCTGTGCAACACGAACCGTGCTAGAATGCTTGAACAACCCAACTCGGTTACAATTTGTTACTCACAAGATGGATTCTATCAATGCTGGTTAGTAACTATTGGGACGCTAGTAGCGTCTTACTAGTTCATAGACCTGTATGCTTTGATTTTTTCCATAGTGGACATAGTAGTCCACGTGCACTGATGAGATCTGCCCTGATAAGTTCATATATGGTAGAATGTACCTCTGCTGCGACAACTGGTAGTGGAGCATTTACATCGACGGTATCGGAATCAACGAAGGACTGGCACATCTCTATCAGACACGGTGTCGTATGGGGAAACAGCACGTTACTCATAGCTCCATTCACTTGTGATATACGCGTCGTATCATACGACTCGTCCGTGCAATCTATACTGGTCATTGAGTGAGGACGAATTTGTTCCACGGACTTGTTGGCACGGATGCGTTACGTGTATCTATCACAACTTGTGACTCACCAGTAGCTATTCCGTCTTATGAAATACAGGATAAAATCTTTGTTGTTGTGTTCGCTGTGTTTCTATAACCGTTGCTTCGTGACACGAAGTTCGTGTGCAAACAACATATCGAAAATCTAACCTCAACCGTCTCGCATTTTTCAAGCCCAGTCGGTTATTTTCGAAAGGCTCGTGATTGAGTAGAAACGCGCATTTTTCAGTTGCGTGTTTGACAAGGGTGGACCTTTAGAAGTGCTCGGCCCCAGAGAGCTCGCCTTCCACACAGGCAAGATGTCTCATTTGGGATTCTCCGTCAACGTGGTGAAATGGAGCCGTTATCAGGTCCGGCGGTGGGTCCTCATTTGGCGGCATACAAGTATGATTCAAATTCTGGCGCACGAGCAGCTGAGCTGGTCGATGAGGGCAGTGATGACTCTGAGTTTCCTAGAGGACCCATATTTGCGTAAGTGCATGGTACTTGGACGCTTTCGTTCACCAGATAACTACTTCCTTTTTGGAAGAATTTCCTGCTGCTGGATTGGTCTTTATCCCAGGTATTTCAACGGTGGGCCGAGTTTTCCCTCCTCGCAGTTTCCTCGAGACTGTCGTAGTGAAGTCCTCTACCGCTACGCCTCTAGTGGTGAGCCCGCTATATTGAGGTGCCCTGTTGGGAGTGGAAAGGTGAGGACCTATCTAAGACATATCACCTATTATAATCGTCTCCGGGCTGTCTTTGTTCTACTCAGAAGTTGAGAGTTCATAGCTCACGGGTTTGCCCCCTTCTCAGGCTATACTCTCCGGAGTCCACTTTGAGGTGCTGCCCGAGGAGCTTGCCGAGTTAGATGACGAGAATCTCACGAAATATGGGGTATGCGAATCCATGTTCCGCACAGAGAAGAAATTGAAGATACTTGCCCGCCAGTTGCTTCTTGATCTTGTTCATAATCCTACCAAGTAGCACAGAAGTATTTCACAGCTTTTCTCACCTCTACGAGTTTTTTGTAGTCTTTCAATGAGGATGGGCTGGTCCATGGTCAATTGTGAGTATCGTCTCGACTGGGGTCGTTTATTTACAAGTTCGCATGTTCAGAACTGTGGGCTGGCTTGTGAAGAGTTAGTTTTCTCTTTTTCCAGTTTACTCCATCACGCATGATTCCCCTCCTCTGTTGCCTATGCGCTGTTATCTTATGGGTTTGGCTCACCAAGACAAAGAGCTTGCTGGAGGTCAGTTGTTAGCCGTGGAAATGTTAAAAATATCTGTTGGAATGTACCCCTAAAGCTCAATTTGTATTGTTTTCAGGATGTGGTTCTTGCGGTGATATATCTCTGGTATTTGAGTCGGCTAAGTAGAAGAGCTCTACGCTTTTGCTGCTCGTCCATAATGGCAGCTGTCATCTATCGCTGACCTTCGCTCTGATTCACTCTTGTAGATCAATTTGATATGAACTCGCCCATCCATGATTTTTGTTTTTTAACGCAATCCATTTCCAAGTGTAATTGTTTTGTACTTCCGCCAAGTAAGAAGACAAGGTTTTCTCGCGGTGTTTCCCAAGAAATTCATTGTTGAATTCTAATTATGAATTGAGGTGTGAATATTTTATTAATATTTATGATTAATAATAGACCTGAAGTATTTATTCATTTTAATCATTACATTATAACAACCGGTAATATGTTTTGATAAGGATATACCCAGCTAATAAAAGGGGAACCTTCATCACCTTCACGAAACGGTTTCGTAGTCTCAGTTGACACTATGTGGTATCTAGGGATCAGAACCGCACGGCGGCTTGATATCGTCGGTAAGGCTGCATCGACTGTGGTCAAGGCCTCGACGACGACTCCTCAGCCACTAGCTATCTATGCTTGTGAGTTACTGTATTGATGATTTGGAAGTATGCAACGGCTGTTTTCAGTTGAGACGAATAAGAAGTTTCGACGGTGGAAGTTTATGCGAATGAAAAAGAAAAAGTAGGTTTTGCTGAGCTGTGCTTCTTGCCGGTTCTCTTTCGTGTTTGTTGGAAATTTCTCGAGTCGTTTTTGGAACTTGGAATTATTATCTTCATATAGCCCACTTGTTAGCTCGAGGTGGTGAATCAAGCGGTATTGGCGTTCAGAAGCTCCTTTGACACCTTTCGAGAAAGCAGAAATCCAAAGAAAAATCCTTTGCTGATACCGGGACATGTTGAGAAATATTGTATTGCAGGTACAACAAGTACTAATTGTACCATGACGATATTTAAGTTTCTTATTCCAGCAATGGTTGTTGAGCGGTTAAGGAACGTTCTCCCGCCGGTGGGGGACAACCAAACTGCAGAGTATGTACCAGGCTCCTTGATGATGGAGTTTAGCATTCTGGGTCGTACATTGTCATACGCGTCACTTGCATCCAGTTTACCGCTTCCCTTGAGGGGACCATTACTCGACTGTTCATGGCCTGACAACGATCGATATCTCTATCGAGTGTTCCTCTTGGGTATATGGTAACGGTAAGCGTTGGACATGCGTGCATTGCACGCAGGCGAGCGAGAACCGTTCATCGCTACTAGCTCCAAGGTGAATTGATTTGAAGTTGATTCTCTTGTGTTTCCCCGATATGGTAATCGCTGTTGGCTCCCCGCTCCCCGACACTGTACTCTTCGAGACCAGCCCGGACGATAAGAAGACTTTGAATGACGTTTTCGGGAAAAAGACCGGTATCCTTTTTGGAGTCCCAGGAGCCTTCACACCTACTTGTGACCAGACCCACTTGCCCAGGTAGATTACTATGATGACTCTCTACGGTAAGTCTGTTTGCTCAGCTATCTCAAAGACTACGATCAGCTGAAGGGTAAGGGCGTCGAGGTTATTGCCTGCATGGCCGTCAATGACAGTTTCGTGATGCAAGCTTGGGGTAAGGCCACAGGGGCCGGGGGCAAGATACACATGCTCGCCGACATTAAAGCTGATACCGCTAAGGTCAGTTTCTCACCATCCTAGTGCTCGCTGTTTGCACGATATCCCATCAGGCTCTGGGAGTTGATTTCGATGTGACTCCGGTCCTCGGAAACGTCAGATGCAAGCGATTCGCTGCTATCATCAGGGACGGTAGGCTCCTTAGAAAGGTATACTTGTTAGTGTTGAGCCATTCTTGCTGTCAGGGAGCATCGCAGCTATCGAGGTCGAGCCCGATAACGTAGGCGCCTCCTGCACTCTGGCCAAGGATATATTGAAATATCTCTGAACATTTTTATGTCCGAGAATTTTTCAAGAGTGACCGAGGTCATTTAGACTTATCTGAGTCCTTTTCACATGTCGTGATGTTTCGTTCTCCAAGTGTAATATGACTAGATGTAAAGCGGGAAATTGCCGTGTAAGAAAATGTCATGCATAGGGAATGGCTTCTATTATTCGACGCATACCCCTGTCGTGTGTACTGAACACTATACTCGGCTAGATGAAACTGCAAGTAAATAAAGGCTTAGACCCCACCGGCAACACCCTCAACGAGCAAGCGCGCATCTATAGGTCGGGCTGATTCTACTACCTGTGGAAGAAACTACATCATTCAAAGAGACAGTGCTTGGAGGTTACTCGTTGCTCGGGTATGAACTGAATCCAGTCCCCACTGGCAATCGGTAGGATACCCATGTTCGCGGCATGATTCCCCAAGTATCTGATCAAAGACTTGATCTCATCCCTGAGTAAACTATCGACAGTTTGTTACGCTAGGATAGCGACGTTGATGCCGATGTAGGCTAGCTTTTGGAGCAACACGTTGGCAGCTGCAAACTGGTCGAAAACTGACAAGTGGAACGATAAGCACACCGAAATCGATTTCAAGTATTAAAGGGAGTTCACGGCATCGCTTCGTGACTCACTTACCTTGGTTGCACTTAGCAAGACTCTTCACGGTATTCATCGTAGCATAGCCGACAATGAGGATACTGAACAAACCTGAGAGGGGAATGGTATAACTGCTACCTAAAACATGAGATATTCACCAGGGCCGGAACCGCTCATCCATAGCATGAACAGATTCATGAATATTGACTTGGCCGGGCTGATCGCAGTCTCCCATGCACCTAATAGTAGTACTAGTAGTAATAGTAATAGTAGTAGCAGCAGCAGCAAAAGTAGTAGTAGTAGTAGTAGTAGTAGTAGTAGTAGTAGTAGTAGTAGTAGTAGTAGTAGTAGTAGTAGGGATAGCAAGAACAACTACGCTTCTCCAGAATAGCCTTTTGTTGAGCAAGCTTCTGAATGGCCTGTTGCCCTGCAGCCTCTCCCGATTGCTGTAGTTTCCACTTAAACCCTGTGGGGTCAGGAAGGGCTGATGAGCGTTCGAGTGCGAAGGGAGTAAACGATGAGTTTATACCCTCTTTTTTCGTGGTCTTTTCTGGGAAGGTCAAATCCCACTTCTCGAAGAGTTCACCAGCGAGACTAGCCGACATTTACAGTGGAATTGATAACTGTGGATAAACTACGCATCCGACGGCTATGATGATTCGGCGGCTCAATTGTTTCCGGAAAACGACCGGTCCCGGGATCGAACCCGGGTCGAAGCTGACTTCAATGATTAGTCTTCGTTCTGGGTCTTGTTTGATAGGATGTCAGATATGCGATACAGAAGTGTTGAAGGAGTGGTATGATATAACTACATTGTGCCTAGGGGTCGTCAACAAGCCGATCTTGAAACTTAAAATCGATTCCATAATCGCTTCTCACACTTGTAATACGATCCCCGAATCGATTCTGAATTCCACATGACCATGAGGATAGTGTCTTTAGTTTGTTGGTTTTGCTTCCCCAGATGTCAAGATTACTTTCTCGTGCTTGCACAGCGGCACCTAAATGGGTACGGACTACCTTCACAATGCCCCTCCCCAAGAAGTTAAACGAGATCGTAAGATTGCCGCTGTTCGAGCGTGAGGATCCAGTCAAGATAAGTAGTGACAGTCCTGTATCACATAAAATGAAACACTTCGTGGTTCCCAAAAAGGAAGAATTTTTTGCGAGTCGAATCGTGTTGTTCCCCATATAGTTGAAATTCTGTCATTTACTGATCTTAAACTTCATCCTAGTCTTCGTATAGCTGAGGGATTAAAAAACTTCTTTTAAAGGCGTAAAACCAATTGAAAATTTCTGTCAGCTCCGTGTGGAATTGAACGACTTAGGTATATTTCGCTACTCTAAGACTTATTGTAAACACGAAAAAAATGTGCAGATAATCGGGAAAGGTTTCCGGTTTTTGAAAAACCTGCCTAAATTTGGGGAGAACTTATCAATCTTCGTCAAAACCCACTTATCGAGTACTGTGGCTGAGATTACATATGAAAAGTCTCCATATTCGTTTCATTCGGATCCCATTAGAAAACTAATTTCACGAATACCTAATCGTTGAGTACTATCGATTTGTTCGGTACTAACTTTCTGAAATCTCTACTAATAATTTGCGACGTGGAGGTTCTCAATGGGAACTGAGGGATTTTTTCCTCCGACGTGGACTGTTTAGCCATCATTTGCATATATTCTACTTGTAAACAGGGTGAGAGAATATGCACATGATAAACTACATATTTTGGTGACATCCAAATTCTGAGCCTCAGAACCTGAGAGCAATTTGGGAAATTTCTATTGGTATCCCCATATTTCTACCCTAGTTCGTATATGAACTTTTATGGTTTACGAGGAAACTCTTTAATGCAGTTGAAGAAAGCGAGCATATTTCTCAACACGTATTCAGGTGGACTCCGAGGCGAAACTTTCGTGAAATTCCCGAATGTTTCTGAGAAGAGTCATCTCAGTGGTATAAGAAGTCATAGTCGAACTCGACTCCCATTTAGGATCGATGTGGTTGGAGCATATCAATGAGAAGTCTCGGTCGATCGGTGCAGTTATGGCCAAACCCGAATGGGATATTTTCCATAAAAAGTACCTCCTGTGTGATAATCTGGGTCTTCATTCTGTTTGCCAGTGCGTTGGCGTGCCCGATGTTCATCATACCAGTACAGAAACCCGAAGGCTATTTCAATATGGTGTCCCAAATACAGGATGGGAAGTACTAAACGATAGGTTATGAGTAAGGTGCTGGTTTATGATGATAATTTTAGTTTTTAAATTTATTATGAACTTAATATATCGGTATCTTATACTTTAGTCGGTAGAAATTATGTTCAGGACAAACATGTTATACCGTAAATTGGTGGATATATATGCGATTATACTGAATCACCTCAT